GGCTTTCATAATAGCCTCTCCCAGCCACCACCATAGCTTGGGGGCAGGGAGGAGGAAAAAAAAAAAAAAAGGTGTTAAAAAAAAATCAAGTACTTTCCATTTTCATTAATCTATGATTCCATGAAATCTTGTAATCCAGGGCACATTGTAAGAGAGTTGTATATGGCAATAAGGAAATCCTGCCGTCAGAGAAAGTGACACAAGTCCCTGTGCTACCTGCCAATTTGTGAAACTAGGTGACAAAGACAGATCACCAGAATATAGTAATGAAGTTTCAGCCTGTTATTTAGTTCCAACTTTCATGCCTATCCAGGAGCAATCAGCATCCAGCAAGTGGTGGGTTTAGCCATGAAGCCATTGGTCAGGACATAAAATTCCTTGGTACAGAAAAAACTGTTGGAAATAAGCAAAATGCAATCCCAAACTCAACAAAAATGCCAAGCTCGCTACCCTGTATTGACCAGCCAGACCACTGATCTGAGAAATGGCTGCTGGCCGTGAGACAATGGACCTACAGTTGCAATGAGGAGACATGGAACTGTTTTAAAACAGACATTACTGTTTAAGTTAACTGAAAGAGTAACTTGCTTCAAAAAAAGCTATGATGAGGTACAGTTCACCAGGTGCAGTATATTTAAAAGAAATGTGAAAGGTTTCTTGGACAGACAAGGAAAATCAGCATTGATGTATACAATTTCTGCACAGCATTAAATTTTGACACTCTAGGAAAGTGCCTACTTTTATCTTTGTCACTGAACACAGGATGGCAGAGAAATCTGTATTCCAAGTACTTTAAGCAATAAAAACCTCAGGCAACAGGTGCATAGACAATTTAAGAAAAAACCTGAGGGTTTAACATTCCCAACCAAAAAGACAGACCCCAGTTAACACTTGGATGGTCATCTTTTTTTTTTCCCCCCACAAGAGCTCCCTCTCTTTCATTGTTTATAGTTCAACTCCAGTTTTACAGGAGCAAATAAACTCTTAATATATATAACTGAGGTTTCAGTTATTCTCAGTTAATCATTTCCTGGTTATAGCTGATTTAAACAGCAAAGCAAGTTTTGCTAGAATAAACACGGAAACACAAGATGCAAACTGCAGGGAGGCCAGTAGTGAGAAAGTTTTACGTATATATAGATCTACAGTGGTTGCCTTGCATCTTCACAGTACCCAGAACTGATCTTCACACCCCAATGAAAAGAAATAACAAGGACAAACTGGCAAGGTTTTATTGTAAAAGGCAGTGAAAAATACTACTATATTTTTTTTAGTACATTTTTAACCTAAAGTGGAAGCCAAGCAGACCCTCACTGTTGACTTTAGAATACTTTTTTCCGAGAAGAATATAATTGGTAATTGCTAATTACAGTATTTTAGGTCTGTATGTTATAGTTTTTACTAGCAAAGGTGACCTCTCTGGTTACTGAACAGTATATTCACTGAGAAGCCTGAAACTCTTCCAAACGAAACAAAGATCCTTTTTGAGGCTCTGTTGCATTGGACAAATAATTTCTGTCAAAGCTGCATCTCATAGGTGCTCTATATTCAAACTTTCTGAAGAGAAGAATTATACTGGTGCTATTGATGGAGCAGTACGCCACCCATATGTGAAGATTTGATGCCATTCCAACTCTTCCTATCTATTATTTTCTCAAGGTAGCCCCCAGTCAGCCTTTTATCCTAATACAGGCACTAAAAAAAAAAAGTGTGATTTCTCCTGTGCTAACCACACTAAATCAAGAACTCCACTTGTACAGTCTCTTCACCAGTACTATGGCTAGTAAACTACTTCTTGCAGAAAAGAGGTGTTGACCTTTTATCCTTAAAATGTATGAAAATACATTATAAACCTATTAGAAGTTCTGGTAAGTTTTACATTCTCTGTCAGCCTACTCTGACTTGTTTGGAAAGCTGCAAAGTATTTGTTTAGCAACAGAGCATTTACTCCTTGTTACAGATCTATTTATACCACTCAGAACTTATTTAGAAAAGATGAACAATTTATGAGAGTCCAAAGATGCTTTAATGGAGTTTCTCAACAGTTGTTACAACACTGTAAACACCTATTCATTTGAAATTAAGCATTCATGCTAGATACGCTTTGTCAGCCAGTCTTAAAAAGAAAACTTGCTAGAACACAATACCGATCAGCCTCTCCTGTGCTGCTGTGCAGTTACATTGTGAATTACTGGTGACAAATTCAAGTAAGTGAAGAGGCAAAGTGTAATGGATCAACAGTAAAGTATGTAAAAAAGCAGAACACTCAGAAACCGGTATAAAAATCTTTCAGCCAAACATGAAAACACTTGCTATTACTTCTGGTACTACCTATAATCCCTAAGGTTATGTACTAGGTAACCACAGTGTTAATCCATCAGGTTAGGCATTACTCCAAATAAGTCAACGTTTCCCTATTTTCATCTCTAGCACACTTTGGCTTTATCTTTTTCTCCAGCCTGGTCTAAAATTTGCATGAAGAGAGATTCCAGTGTCTATTTGGCTATGCACTACTGCAGCATCACATTTCTCAGAGTACTAGATTACATGTAGGGGAAAGACATGCCACAGGCTCGAATCATGCAAAATTAGAGAGATTTTACATTGCTTTAATAAGGTGTCAAGCAGCTCAACAGGTCTGCTTAGGTGAAATGGAGCAAGCTTTGGGCATCTAGAGCCCAGTCCTGGAAACCCATTCTTAGATCGTTTCTGTCAATAATGGAAGTAAACAACAACATTATTAAAAGTCTGAGAGACTGGGTCCTTAGATTCACTTTTATTCATTCTGATTTTTGACTCCTTTAAAAAGATACCATCAGGTTTAGTATGGACAAGAGAAAAATGAATCCACAACTCTTTATTCATTCAAGTTGTTCTGTTCACAGGGTTATTTAGGTAGTGATGTGTATAGGTGAGCAGGAACAGATCTAGGAAGGTGAAATATTTTTAGAAGCTATTTCCAGAGGGGAAAAAAAAAGAATATCTAGTTTACATAACTTTTCTTCCATTTATATTATTATAATAATGTGGGTTATTTACACTTTATATTCAGTTTATTTTGCAGTAGCTCTGTGCCTAAGTGTTTGGGATGCAACTTCTGCAGGACAGTAAAAAAAAAAAAAAGGCAGAGAAGGTACATATGCTTGGGTGTTTGTGATTTTTTGTGTTCGTCCGTGTCCCCCCCTTATTAAAACACATCCAAAGTTCAACTTGGAAATTAAGCTTATACACAACCCTCATATCCCATATGTATATTTAAATGAGAATGAAACATTATTTCTAAAGTTAGCACCTAGAAGACTTACCATTGACAGCTTTTTCATAATTCTTTCCCAGATTTATTAAATTCCTCAGTCCTGGATTGAACTGTTCCATAACATTCTAGTGAACAGAAAACAAAATTTCTGTTAGAACCAAGGCAATTTAACAGTGGGTGAAAGTATTTCTCAGTGGCACTTCGGTCTAGTTTTATGTTTCTTATGTACAGCATACATCTGAAGTCTAAGAATGGATAAAAATAGAAGACTTGGGAGGAAGAGGAGAGCAAAAGATGGAAGTGAGAAGAAGCTGAGCATTTAACATCAGCAAACAGGAAAAAAGGTAAATATTTCAGTAAGGGTAAAAAGGAATCTGGCTGTTTACAACACAAAAGGACATCATGTGATCAAAGTTTGCACAGATGCTTCTTTTATGGTAGGTGATGGTGAAGTAAGAATGAGAGAAAAACCTTTATCCAGCAATTGTTTTATAAAGTCAGACAATAACAAGAACTTTCTGACAATGGTTCAAGATTTGAGTTTTTTGCCTCCCTGCCCCATGCTGAAAAAAAAAATGCTGGGAAAAGTCAAAAAAAGAAAAGAAATTCACCAGCTATCTGATTAGGGGAAGACTAAGCACTTTACTAATCTTTTCTAAGTTACATAAAGCATTTAGGGAAATTAGTTGAGATTTTTTTTGTTGTTATGGTTCTTTGGTTTGTAAATGCTGCATTTTATTGTGTGAAGCCATAGTTCTTTCAGAAACAAAATTAAAATGACAACCTTATTTAAATAGATGTAGAAAAAAAAAAAATCTACAGCAGCTGCTTTGGCCATTAAATACAATTATTGGCTGAAACAACCAGAATCTGAAATCCAGCAGCTCCAAGCATGACTAGTCTCATACCTAGCAAATTCTATGAACTAATGAAGTGGTAGAAATTGTGACTGGCAGTTTCATAGTGCAAGAAAATAGCTAGACCATTAAACAGAAAAGTTTCAATTCTTTACAAAGAGTAGAAAATAAGTTAAGCCATGAAGCGTGAACCCAAATTTGAATTTGCCCAAAGCTGGGGGGTGAAAAAAGACAGAAAGAGCTTTCGCCCACTCCAAAAAGCAAAATCACCCACAAATTGAGTTGTCCCTACTCATAGGAAAGCGTCAGTTTCCCTCTTTCTGGTCAAAGACAATAACTCTCCCCCCCAAATCAATATTCCAAAGTTACTTTTATCTTGCTACAAGCAGTGAAAAAAGCTGACATGCTGATATAAATGCAGTAGTTATTCACTCCTCAGAATCATGCCCTTTAAGCGGTCTTGAACACATGTAACATAAATAGCATTATTCCAAAATCCTGGATGTTGCAATTAACTTTTGAACAATGCTAAGTAAGTCTGAAAGAGCCTCTGAGCTTCGCTTTTTTGGTGGTTTTTTGGTTTCTTCAGGTAGAATCACTGTCTGAATTAAAGCCAGCATGTTTGTTCAACAAAAAACCCTCTTTGTATGTATGTAAATAACTACCTCTGAACAAGTATTCTAGAATTTAACATATATGCCTGGTCATTTAATAGTCAAGTAACCACAATGTTCTTTCTTTTCTCTCTTCCATACAAAATACAATTTCATATAACACCAGCTGCTAAGTCTCAGGAACAATTTGGTAATGAGTATTTTTTTCCCCTTTTAAAAATAAATCTAATACAAGCCCTATATTTCCATAGAGCAGAACCTTAAAAGTTTTTGCAGATTTTAGACCTTCTTTTTCCAGAATCTTCCTGACAAAACTATAGCTGTGACGTTACTCTAAAATTTTATTGTCATGAAAGGAAGATCAGGAGATAGCGAAGACATTCTGTTATCGTTTTTATGACACAACTCCCATCTTTCTGGATACTGTTCACACAGCAGAACTTTAAAGTTCAAGGAACTCAAAACAGACACTTGCTGTTTACAAGAAATACAAGACACAAGACAAGTGAAATAGTATCAAGCTTTTGTCTGTTATACTACTAACAGAATGAAAATATTTATACTTAGTACATACATGGACCCAGAAAGAACAGGAATACCATCACATTTGTCTTATCTTCAGGCAAGGTCATTCAGGCAGAACTTTCTTATATTTTTTCAAATATAGTGCTATACCTGAACTCTAGACAATTTAAAGTGAAGAAAATAATTAATTCCAGATTTCACCAATAATACTTTAACAAGCATGTTGAGTAAAAACCATAGGGATTTTTAAAAAAAAAAGAAAAAGTCTATAAAACTGTTAGGTTCTGATACTGGTATAGCATATGTGACATCAAAAGCAGACACGGAACAATAACTAGCCCCACCACCTTTATTTGTACAAATTAAATGCAACTGGGATTGGTTTCTGGTCTATCATTAAACTCTCACCCACCCAAACATGACCACTGCAAGCAAACTACCTATTGTCCCTGAGCCCTTAATTTGTGTTAATTCGCAAACCACATCCAGAAATCAGTTGGGAAAGTGTGTTTGGTTGGGCCAACAATGCCAAGGGCTATTCTAACAAATTAACAGTATGAATATTCAAGCTCTAGTGTCTGGGAACATCCCTTCTCCCACTCCAACTCTTTAATTTACTACTGTAAACGTTGCTGTGGTGCCTCTGTTGCCCTCCCCATGGCTGAGGCAGTGCGACTGTGAGGCTTTTGTTCCAAGGGGGAAGCTGTCTCTTCCAGTTCCAACTTTTTCCCATCTCTTCCCAGCAGTGTACTAAAGATGACGTCTGTTGGCATATATGGAGTCAGCAATTGACAAAGGGGTGGGGGAAGGCATGAATTAGGGGATTGTGTTAGGATATAGAGTCCTGTATTCCAAGGACATTGGGGGGGGGAAGAAAGGTGTACATGACGTAGCAACTGTGTGTATCCATGGCAGGTAAGAATCCCAGTGCCACCTTGAATTGTCAACCTATACTGAAAATAATTTTCTTGAAAGACAGATCCTGTCCCTTCTTACCCTGCTCCTCACAACAAGAACTTACAGAGTAAACTCCTTACTGCCACCTATACAAAAATTATAATGGTAACATGATAATTATTGGTCTTGAAATATCAATTTTTGGAATGACAGTCTTCAAGATTCAGGGGGTAAGATTCCAGTTCTCTTGACATCTTCTAATTCAGATTTCAAACAGAGAACAGTGATTACCCCTGTGTCATGAGCTATTTTCATTTAAGAGGAAGTGAACAAAACCCAACAAAAATGCCCTCAACATCTCCCCTCTCTGAAGCCAGACCCCATAGATCTTTATTTTCACTAGCTGACTTGAGATGTATGGGGTATTCATGTACAGCAGATACAGATCACGCTGTGGAAACACAACAGGTCCCCAAAACACAGAGAACTCTGAGGAAGAGCTCCAGTACATCACACCTGCTCAACATATATGTAAAACCGCTGGGAAAGATGAAGAAACAATTTACAGCTCAGTGCCTTCAGCAGCTGGAAGGCATACAGCCAAGGGATCTTTTCTCCATTAGACCAAGCAGTCGCCTCTGGACGTTTTTCAGTCTTTGTGCTGCCACAGTGGTTGATTGTTAGCAGAAGCATCTGTACCAGTCTCTAGACGCGAACGCCCGACAAGCAGCAAAAACCTTCGCAATGGAAATTCCCCTTTGGAATCTGCTTGGTTTAACACAGGGTATGGTTAGCTCCTCCTCACAGCACTGCGCAAGGCTCACTTACTTCCCTACTAGGGAGTTGTGTTTGATAGAAAGACTTGGTTCCCACCTTGGGGTCTCCAAGATGATCTAATGAAATAGTTCTTAAGATTATTTTCCTTTCTTCAACATTAGAAAGAAGCATAATATGTTTTTTTTTCTTTCTATTGAAGACTAGCTTCTCAAAGCAAATAAAAACCTGGCTGTTCTAGTGCTCTCTTCATACAGTTAACCACTGTTGCCGTCTTTGAAATACTGTCCAGGAAAAAAATATCTACAGCACTTTTTCAAAAAGGGAAACTGTCACTGGCAACTCCCTCTTCAGGATAAGGTATAAACTTGATACTGCCAAGCCATTTGAGATCAGTTAAAATGATTGTAATATTTTGTTCAGCTTCAGAAGTTACAGGGGAAAAGAGCCACTCAAATCAATCTGTATAGCTATTTTTTTCCTTACAATATCTTACAGTTTTAAAGCTTCTCTTACTTGCAGTCTAAGGAAAAGGTCATGAAAATGAGTGAGACTGAACACCCGTGCAAAATTGCAAGTCATGCATTAAAGACAGACCTCAAAACTTCTGGCAAAGCAAAGACAGAGGAACAAAGAAGAACTTCTGATCAAGAGAACCACTAATTTAAAATTGTTTAAAAGTCTCAGAAAATACCACAATCTCGTTATCTGCCATGCTGTACAAAGACATGGGAATAAAACTTTTGTCTTAATCCAAAAAGACATCACAAAGTAAGAAAAAACCTGGGAGAGACAAAGTGGTTCACAACACATCATCTGCCTGTACAGCAAGGGACACAAACTAATTGTCGATCTAGTGTCCTATATTCTAGTAACACACTACCTTGCATGAACGGAATAATTAACTAGAAGAGAAGAGGAGGCACATGATCAGATCCTACAGCTTTCTATTATTTAGGATGAATGGAAATAAAGGGAAGGTACTTTCAAAACAGGCAACTGGAAACATCTTTTTATGCAGAGAGTTTTAGAATTGGCAAGTGACCTTCCAAGAAAAAGCATAACAGAAACCTACTGTGGTCATTCAAGTCATTAAATCCCCACATAACCCGGTATGAGTTGCTATGTGCCTTTCACCACATGAAACCAACGTGAGTTAACCAGCCTGGCAGCAAGGAGCTGACTGAAGAGGAACAAGCCTTGTATTTCCACTTGTGGTGCACAGGTATTATATCTTCCGCAGTTCCTGATACTCATATAAACAACGTTAATCTTCAAAACAAATGACAGCCATTGTGAAAGTGCCTTCCTGTAAATGCTCAGCTTTGCTTTTTACTTTAAGACACACCTCACAGAACAATAGCTCAGCAGGTATGAATACAACTAAACAATGCATAGACTCCCAGTAGTTTCAAGTTTACATCCTGCAGGCACTGTCACAAGAGTGGATAA